AGGCTGGTTTCTTGCAGAGAATCTGCCTCATAGTCCCCATATTGTCTGAGATCCTATTATCCGAGTTAATACAAGCTCTGTTACTCCAGACAGTGGAGTTGACTATGTGTGGAATAAAGGGGAGATTTTGGAGTTCAGCTGATGAAAACCACGGAAAAAGAGTCTAAAGGTTTTTGAGACCAACAGGTTAGGTTTTCCACTAAATTTGACAGGCTTTGACGCAGGCACTGCAGAAGAAGGAAGGTGCACTAGCAGTTAGCTGACTGTCAACACAACCCAAATATTGTCTGATTGGTTCCAGACATTTTATTCTGTTCTTATCTCTCAGCATATTGGATTCCCTTTTGACCTTCTCATCTGAGAAAGTGAAAGTGGTTTGATTTGTGTTCAACCAAAGTTTACAGGCAAAATAGAGCTTCACAATGGAAAACAGTCTGAAATGTTTATCTTCACAAAGATCAAAATCTGCCTTTTTTACTGCCGTAATTCCCAGGAGGAGCTGGTAACTGAGAGACTGTAGGGTTAGAAAGGTCCTAGCTGTCCCCTATGACTTTGACTGAAGCATGATCCGTTGTCCCAATTCCAGACTGACTTTAGTCTCTCTCCCCTTTTAACATATGCGATTGTCACATGAAAAGTCACTGCACCTCTCAGACCCATTTTCCTGTCTTTCAGCAAGAGTGTGGAAACCCACTGGATCCTGTACCACAGCTACGGCACGCAACAAATTGATACTGCTGTGGCATTCAAATGACTAACAGCAAACTGCACAGCAAACAGGGGCAGAGAAAGCAGGACTCTTCCAAGTTTCAGTCTCTCTGAACTCTGCTGTCCTAGCACTGGCCAGGAATAAACTGGCTGAAATTACAGAGAGAGACAAATTCAGATATGTTCAGATCACTCCTTCCAGCAACTTTGCTTAGTGTTTATAGCTGGCGCCCATCACTTTGGTGTCCGTGCTCACCTGTTTCAAAGTCCAAAGGTGGATTTCACAAAGTCACTGTTCACAAAGTTCACTGCTTATGATGCAATAACTCTGTATTTTTACCTTGTTGCTGCTTTGGTTTTTTTTTAAAGGTTTCAGACTGTGTGTTGGCTGCAGGGATGGGGACTCCCATATCAGCAGGAGGAGGAGTCAACAAGATAACTACCAATCTGCTAGTGAAAAGGGCTTTTTTAAGAAAGAGCATGTTGTGATATCCCCTTTGGGGCAGTTCCAACTTTGTCAGGCTGCCCTGGGAACCTGTTCCAACAATGGACTGAGGGAAGTTACAAATCCTTCTACGTGGTACCATTAAGGCCACTCCTGAAATACTGTGTCCAGTTTCAGGACCCAACTCAAGAAGGAAACTGAGGAACTGGAGAGTGTCTGGCAGAGGGCTACCAGAATGCTTAGGGGCATGGGGTACACGGCATGAGAAAAGGCTGAGGGAGCTGGGTTTGTTCAGTCGGGTGAAGAGGCTAAGAAGGGATTTCGCAGCAACGTACAACGACTTTGAAGGCAAGTTCCAAACATGACAGAGCTAAACTCTTCATGCTAAGGGGCAGGAGATATAACAGGGACAACAGGCATAAATTCTGGCTTGGGATGTTCAAGTTGGACATTTGGGAAAACTTCTTTGCTCAGAGAGCGGGGCAGCCCTGGGACAGCATACCCAGGGCACTGTTCTTTCGTACTGCTCCAAGCATAATGGCTCTGATCCCCGTCAGGGTTGTCAGATGCAACCACACTGTGTGTAGTAAACATGCCCACAGTTGCTGGGTGACAGCTGCATATCCTCTGAAATAGGGCACAGACCTTAGGTCACACATCTAAAACCACCCGCAATCTTCTGCTTGCAACAAGTAAGAAGGGCTGTACCAGGCAGGCTTTGATGTGAGCAAATATGATTTGCCACCTGGAGAACATGAAATACAGAGGAATTTCCAAACGCCCAGAATTGTCC